GATTTCCGAAGTTGAATTTTCACAGGCTTTTTCATAGTTGTACATGTTCAGTACTAGTATTGGAACCAATCACAAGAACAAGATGGCTGCCAGGTGATTATCTTGAAATTTGACAGAAAATTGTTACAAAATGAAGTGCAAATTTTCTCAGCTTAATATGTAGGTACTCCCTTATTTCTAATTTTTCATGCATTTTGAACTTAAGATTCTAATCAGAAGAAAATTATGGCTGCCAGAAATTGAAAATCTCACTTGTTCTATTCTGAATAAGATGTTTACCCATTCTGCCCATCTTCCTCCTGACTACCTGCAGTAATAGTGCAATTGGGCGAAATGTCTCTATCATTTTTGACAGCTGACTTTATTGATTCAACCCACTGTAGCTTAGCGAGTTGTTTTCAGTGGTTTAGAGTTGAGACACCAGTCTTTTACACTCTTTGTTTGACAAAAGAAAACCAACATTTTCAAAAGCTTGCAAAATAACTTTTCAATTACTGTTTGTTTTCAAAACAAACTTAGCCTTTACTCACTTGCTCTATATTTACATGTTACTATTCTAGTAAATGGGTCAAATGACAATATCACTTGTCAAACACAACTGTATGACTTTTTGAACCAAATTTATCATGAATCCAACAGATACAAAAAAAGTTCAAATTTGCATAAAAGTAACGATTTTATGATGTGGGTGCTCAGACCCATTTGGGATTTCTTGTTTTAATATTTCTACAAGCTTTTGAGATTTTGTCTAAACCTCTCTGTTCTTGATTCTCTACGTTTCCTGCAATACCAATCACACCGGGAAGATGAATCACGTAAGAAGATGTTAAATCCTGTCTGATCGTTACGACCCTGCTGGAGTTACCAAATCCTACGCTAATTCATTACAAACAAAACCATGCATTCCTGATAAAAAACAGATTTTATTGCAGTGACTGCTTTTCGAAATATTCAAAAATTGTGTAATTATCCAGCAAGAATGGGTGGTTAAATTCACAGGTACATTGTGAAGGAAGAAGCTACTGGCCTTGAGCATTTCAAAAAAAACAAGACCACATGTTGAAATTAGGCGATTTTAGTACAATGTGTTTGGTTGATGTTGTTTCTCCATTTCTACTCCAAAGCACCAGATACCAAATAGTTTCACGCTAATGATTCGTCTGTGCATTTGTGTCTATCGGTTGCCCGACCTTGAACTGTTAATTATCGAAGACCAGTCTGTAAGGTCAAGGACAGAGGGTGTGGGTGGGACACATGATTATCCAGAATAGCATTGTATGATTTGAAAGTCTTGAAAAGATTGCTTAATGCTGACCAGATATCAAGGAAAATAGAGTGAAACATTTTGAAGAACTTGAAATGTCACATTGGTCTTTCAACTCATCCACCCCTGAAGACACATTTGAACTCTTCCAATTCAAAGCCTGGAATAGTTCATTATGAAATTTAAGGGTTGAATGAGTTAAAAAAGCAATTACAAAATGTATAGGTTTATAAGTTCAATGAACTTAAACTTCTATATTGTTTGTACATGTATCCTTTTTCTTTTTTTTGGGGGGGGGGGGGGGGGGGGTAAAGCCAAGCCTTAAGTTGAAGTATTTTATGATAAAGACTAACTATAATGATGGTATGATTAGGAATTACTGGTAATGATTTGGTTACAAAAAATGCTTGACTGGCAAACAAAAAGTAAAAGCTGTTTGGCAGTTGTAGTGTGTTCTGTGTTATTGTACTCTAGTTGAAGAGATGGAATTGGAACCACATTTTATTTATGTATTTAAAAAAAATAAAAAAAAATATGGTAAGAATGTTTGACTTTTCCATATGATAATCAAATGACTGGCACTCCTTTGTATCATGATTTCAACTGAATGATATACTCAGACATTTTTGTGAGGGATTATATATGAAATATTGATTGAGTTTAGTCTGTAGGTAAGTATTAGATCCGTCCTTGCTGTTACCATGTGTGATGATATGAGCAATGGCTATCACTTTAAAAGATGACAGTCATAAGCTTATGAATATGATTGCAGACAACTTATTGCCAAGACCCCAGACAGTTAATTAGGAAATTCCGTTGCAAACAGTGCAGTATTTCCACAAATGTCATAGTTACTGTGGGGTCAGGATGTACCAGGTATATGGCCTTTCCTCAGGTGTGGTATTCCAAGGTACCTCGTTACCTACAGGTATGGCTGGCCTCAGGTGTGGCATTGAACAGTCTACATCATTAACTTGAAGTATGACCTTCCTTCAGGTGTGGAATTGTCTGAGAATTTTTATTAGTATTTTATATTTATACTTCCTGCAACGAAGACAATTTGGAGGTGATGGGAAGGGTCTCTTTCACAGGAATGAGTCCGTTCATCACCGTCGACTACATACAAAATGTATAATGTGACTAGTCGGTCATTAGTGAGATCAGTTCTAAACTTTGTTGATTTCAGGATGTAAGCTGTTGCCATCCTTAATTATAATTTAATTATTTAGCAGAAAATATGAAACAGGGTATCATTAAGTGTTTGAGTAAAATATTTTAAATATAGAAAAGATATATATGATTTTTTTGATTTTTTTTTTATATATATAACACATTATTCATGTACATAAAACATATATGCATTTTTTAAGATACAACACATATTTTCATTGAAGAGTGCAAAATGGGTTACATTTACATTAAATAAAACTTATTACAGTACATCTACATGATATAAGATAAAACATAACATGATGTAATATAGAATATCTTACATTTATATAATACATGTACCAGGTAAAATAATATATGATAAAATATTACATTTACATTATAGAAAATAAATATTGTAATAAATTACCTACCGGTATATAAAATCAACTATATTGACATTATGTAAGAAAAAATAATTTTATTTACAATATGTAAGATAAAATCTACTATATTTACATTATTTATAAGATACATTATGCTGGTGTATTTGAGTCATTCTTCAGTAAGACTATATACCGCAGCCTCCTTCTGTAACCTAGACTGTTACTAATCTTAGTGATATTTTATGATTTTACGTAAGTGTGTCAGACATTTCACTTATGATTAATACAGAGGTAGTTGGCATCAGCTGACCTAACAGTGGGACACCTGTACTTTAGAGGCAACAGTAAAGATGTAGATAACATAGCTCTGTCCATCTCTACCCATCAACACAAGCTGCATGAATTATTGGTGGAACAATGCAAGAGTGCAACTCACTCTGCCAACCAAGGACACCCTTGTTGAACATAAGAAGTGCTTAGATCACTCTCAGTATGTCTTTGCCAATCTTGGCTACCTTTGTTTAAAAAAAAACAAGATTTTACTTCATTCTGCCAACCAGGGGCACCCTTGTGCATTAAAGCAAGATTCCATCCCACGTTGTCAACCGAAGACACCCATGTTGAACAATTCAAGAGTTAAGCTTACTCTGCAAACCAAGGACACCACTGTGAAATAAAGCAAGTTTTCAGATAGCTTTGTTAATCAGGGACAACCTTGTTGTTACAACAAGTGTTCAGATCATTTTGCTAAACATAGTTCAATAAAACAAGGCTTCAGATTACTCCTCCAACTTATGACACTCTTTTGGAACAAATCAAGAGAGAAGTTCAATTTGTCAACCAAGGACCACCCTTGCTTTACACAATTCATGAGTTTACATGGCTCTGCCCAAAAAGCACACCTTTGTGAAATTAAGGAAGATTTTGGCTCACTGCCAACCAAGGGCATGGATACTTTATACATAGGACACACCCTAGAATAACATATATTGCATGCTTGTGTATATCTTTAGCAATAAACACACAATTGACATATATGAACCACTAAAACAAGATACCTAACTTCTTTATATAACTGTAGCTTGGTGGAATGAAGGGCTAGCACCTTGTTGAAATTTACCCCGTTGCACTATCTGTGTCATAAAGTTAATTGTGTTAAAATCTTCAAACAACTTCTTTTAATGAACCATAAGGCCTAGAGTAATGACATTTGCTCTGTAAGTTACTGAAATGATGGGCTCTCAGTTTTGTTACAATAAATTACTTTGACCCTCATTTTGCCTACTCCCTTTTCAAGATGTCATATGGGTGGTACAGATCCTATGGGCCTCTTTTATCTTGTGTTTAATTTTTGTTTGTCTGTGATACTGGTTGAATTTTGCATTATCTAGACTAAATACAAAGTAATAAAACCAACAACATTTTAAGTCCAGGTGTGATGGTGTAAACAGAACATCAGACTAGTCATACTAACCTGTGAAGGTTTTATCACCCTGGTTATGTCTAGGTAGAAGCTCTGTTATGTTTTGTACATTTTCTTCACAAGCAAGTTTTGATTGTTATTAGAGCAGGTAGCATCTTATATGAAAGTTTATGAAAACATATAATTGCATCATAAATTCAACAAATTTGATCAGGAATGAGGTCATTAAAAGCCTATATATAAACCTGTGTCAGTCTGTAAAGTATGCAACAATTTCTTCAAAGGGATCCAAGACATTTAGAATTGTTATGTTGTACAGTACATACAGAGCAACAATGGTTAGATTCTCTCGAAGGGTGACAAATGTATGGAGTTGTTTGATAAAGTACATACAATACGGTGAGAGTCGGCTTCAAATGGAAGGGAACATGTATGGAATTGTGTTATACAAGAAGTGTATACAGTGTTGACAGTCAATAGAATACAGCTAGTTTAATGAAATACATATTGTTGTATACAGGGGTTGATGGGATAAAGATCGGGTGATGAAATTCAATTATTTATTTTTTATAAATACAAACATCAATGTGTTAAATGAAGACAACGCAACAAATTGTTGAATATTGTTACATTGATTGGAGGAAAGTTGACAAATACAGTATTTTCTAAACTGATTAAATTGAATATCCAGACTATGAACTTTTCCCAATATCAAAACTGTCTTGTTCCCAGAGTAGTTTTGAAAAGAAGATGTATTATTATATGTTTATTTTCACAGGATTCAGATGCGTCCGGAAATCGTGGCATACAGAGAGGTTTGTGGAAAGGGTTCGTGTGTCAACTGGCTGAATGTGTTCAGGCGCCGCAGGTTGAGGGAGTTCCAGTCCTTTTCTCACGTGTAACACAGTACAAAGGTTATCAGGAGGTGAAAGGTCAAAATCTGTACCAGAAAAACAGTCAATATTTATACAGGGTGAAAGGTCAATATATGTACAATATGAACAGTAGAAATATGTTCAATGTGACTTATAACGATCTGTTCATGATGAGTGGTAAAAATATGTTTGAAATAATTGGACAAGATCTTTTACAGCGTAACAGGGCATGATCTTTACAGGTGAAAGGTAATAATTCATACAAGGTGAAAGGTCAAGACCTGTACAGAAAACTTGATGTACTGTGTACCTTAGTCTTGAGCATTAAACCTCATTAACCCATTCACCACTGCGGACCATAATGGACTCATCCAGATCAGTGCATGGTAGAGTTTACTAAAGTTACATAGGGGTAAAAAGGTTAAGTAGGACTCACAATCGGATCAAAATTCTCCAGACAATTATCCTTCTGTAACAATTTTTTCCTATAACTATAACAATTTTGTCACATGTAGCTGAAATCCTTTTTCATCCTGAAACCAATTGGTCATATTAATGGTGTTCTTTGGTACTCATTCATGATATACACAGTAAAAATTAGCATTAGTATTTATTACATATTTGTAGAACTTGATTTACTAGGAGACAGAAATGTAACAAGAAACATGAACAAAATGCTCACCCCTTTTAAACACAGCATACATTTGTTTAAGGCACAACATTTGATAGTTTATGTTACAGTGAAATGGAATCTAATGTTGTCCATATTTTATTATTTGCCAATCTTTTGAAATTTCTATTGAGGAGATCTTGCATGCTCAAAATTAAAAACATAAATGAAATGTGTTTATATACCCCAAGGAAAAAACACCTTTAAAATTGAGTTGTTCCTTCAAAAAAAATATGATAGGTCAGGTCATAGTTTACAAATTCACTGGTTGAAAATATCAAATTAAAGAGTCCAGAATTGGGAGATTTCTTCCAGAATTTTGCGTATATGGTCTTCACAATAAGTGAACACAGTAAAGACAGTAAAACCTTGTTATACTGCCAAGTTGGCAAATCAAACGATGGTCGTTATTACGTAGTTACCGCATCGGATGGTATTACAATTTAGTATTTCGTAGGAATTGGAGAAAAACATTACAAGTCAAACTTTTGTATTTCTAACCAGCATCGTTTGAAGTCAATTATAGACGTTGCTGCATCATTCACTAACAAAAGTAACAACTGATTAACAATATACATGCACAGGGTGATATTTTGCAATATTTTTCTTATGTAAAGTATATAAAATGCATTCCTTCAAACTTTCTTTCAAAATCTAATGTTGAATCATTTGTTATCGAAACTCGGGTGTAAAAAAATATCTACTGATCATCATTTTTCTCTTATTTCATGCCACATATGGGATAGTGGGGTACATTGTATAACATGATTATTATGTTTCATGGATACACTGTAAAGAGGGGTTTTACACCCCAACTTCATTTTCGTTCTTTTATTAAAAAAAAATAAAAAATCTCTTTGAACAAAATGTTGAGGGTGCATTCAACATGAGGTAAAAATTGTGATATATATAGTTTTGTGGTTTTGAAATACCCGAGGGTGACCACAACAAGGTGTGAATTCATTTTAAAAAAGCCAGAAGACAAAAGATTGGTGGAGCAAGGATGTTATGGCTAACATTAGCTCTCTGTAGGTAAAAGTTTTTCTTCTTCCAATAATCTGCATACCTCCTCTGGTGTAGTGTCTTTTGACACAATTCTGTAAAAATCTTAATATTTTTCCAACCGGTATACTGTAAAATCATAAATTTTCGTGGGAGATTAAATTTCATTTATTTTGTGGATAAAAAAAATCCACAAAATGAAATCCCCACGAAAACATAAATTTGGTTTGATATAGATAGGGGGGAAATAAAAAATCAGGGAAATATAATGTCCTGGAAACAGGCTTGTATATGAAAACCATGAAATTTTAACCCCACGAAAATAAATGATTCTACAGTAGTATATGTAAATGAACAAAGTTAAATTTGTTGATCATGACAAGTTGGAAGTGAATATTCCAAATTCTGGCTGCTACTAGATGGAGCTAACAGTGCAAATTAGTGTGAATAATGTTATTAGTATAGTATAGGAAATAGGCATACCAAGTAGTGTTTCCTTGACTTTTTAGTTATTTATTTATATTTGATGTTAATTAATACTTACATAGGTCAAATAAAGGTTAACCAAAAGAACAAGTTATGATATTTTTTCTGTTCTCCTTCTTTGATGGTTGTTTGATATCTTGGTAATAAGGTATCTCCCCATCTTCTAGTCTTTATCGTACAGGTAACATAAACCTTATGTACAGGTAAATTACAGGTAACATACACTAAAGCAAGACTTTTAAGTGTTGCTGAGGAGGTACTCAATCTTGTATTTTTATTACCTTTATCATCATGATTAAATGGAACCAACATTGTGGTCTTGATACACCTGTTCTGTCATCATCATCAATGGATAACATTTCCGTACACGGATAGGTATCATTTTTACGTTTTATAACTCCTGTTTATGTATAATTTTTACATTTTATAACTCCTGTTTATGTATAATTTTGAATACCAAATATAATTAGAACTAGAGATTTTTAAAAAAAAGGGAAAAAACAATTATAAACATACCATTATCATTTGTGTAAACCACACAGTAGTACATAGTTACAATGTTAAAGAGATTTTAAATTAAAGGTATATGTAATCTTACTGTTACATGTCGCTTGCTTTCATAAATGTTAAACAAAAAGAGCCCTGATTAAAAATGTGTAATGTCAATTTGGAAAAGGACTTTGTAGAAGTTTAATTAATTAATGACACATTTGAAAGGTATAAGAGAATATGGGCATTCATAACAATCTGGTTATTCTTTATTCAAGTTTCTAATTGAAAAACATTTTGAAGGAAGGTAATCGTAGCAAAATCACTAGCATAATATATATCTTTGCATATATTTGTATCTGAACACATACCAATACTTCAAATTCTGAAATGTTAGAGTTTGCAAAAAATGAAATTGTCAATACATATTCTGTAGATATAGTAAGTGTAAGTATAAAGGTAGATCATGCTATAAATCACCATTATAAACTGCCTGAAGAATCAATGCTTTTTTGCCATACGTGTTTCAACATTAAATATATGTATCTAGTTGAGTTATCTGTCCTGTAATTATTTTTATGCAATGTTAAATCCTGTACCTTGCTGGTGATGTCAATGATACAATTATGATATTGGGAGGGAAAATATCATTCATAATTTTGTTAATTATTTACATTATTTTTCTTTGTGACTGAAAGATAAGCAATATTATTTTTCTTTGTGACTGAAAAATAAGTAATATGGACATTTCGTAGATCCTTTAATTTCAGGTGGTCTTTTAATCTTTATCACTTGTATTTATGGATATGCCTATCTACAACACATAGCTAGTGTAAGATTTTGAACAGACTAACAAACATGAAAGAGTTGTGTGTTTTTTTGAGATTTTTGAATGATAAGGAGTAAATTGAGGACTTGTATGAAAATGACGAAATTCAGGTTTTTGAATGATTATGAGTATAATTAGAATTTTAATATTTACAAGTAAATTTAGGATTTTATGTGATTATGAATAAATTGAGGTTTTTGTATGATGGTGGGTGTATTAAGGCTTTTGTATGATTATACAATTATTGAGGTTTTTATATGATCATAATTATATGAGGTTTTATATGATTATGAGTATATTGAGGTGTTTGTATGATCAATAGTAAATTGAGGATTTTAAGTATTTATGGGTAAATTGAGGTTTTTGCATGATTATGCACATTTGAATTTTTTGTATTGATACTTATGATTCTGAGTATTTTAAGATTTTGTTGAAGGATTCGTATGCCACAGCTAAAATCTGTTCTTATGCATTAGAAACTGGACTTTTTCCGGTATAACTATAGCTGTGATAAATTTTCTCTGAAAAGAAAAAAAAAAATCTGGTACCTTGTGGGACTTTATGAAAAAATAACAAAGATGAAAAAAGTAACTTATAATTAACTGTAAATATAATTATAAATATTCTGAGTGTAAAAATTCACCACGTCTGCAATGGTATTCAAACCCTAGACTTCAGATTGCTATACAATTGCTCTCACTGACTGGGCTACCTGGTCATCGGAAGCTGCTCTGAACCAAATATGTTACAGTCATATGCAAAATGCAATTAATGGGATGTTACGGTTTAAAAAACCCACCAGTGCAGTGGGACAGGGATCCGTAAGGGATTAAATGTATTGAGTGTTTTTTTAATATATTTACCAGTTTTTTATGAATATTAAAGTTTTGTGTAATTATGAGTAAATTTTGGTTTTTAATCATGTTTAAGAACTATGTACACTGATAAGTCGCAAGACTTAAAGTTAATAAAGAACTTGAATTATGTTGTCCATTAAAAACAAAAACAAAAATTAATGCCACATGCAAGAAGGACAATGAAACTTAAATGTCTTGTTATTTAAAAGCAACGGTTAATGTTTGTGACAACTATACAGACGTTTACATGTTATTTTCATTTCAAAACGGATCTTACATGCTTTCTTTAAAGTTGTTTGTTTTTATCTTTTTCAATACTTGCTCAATTCTCAGTGTTAAGTTTATTATAGAACATAAGATTTGCACTCTTTACACACAGGTCAAGTTTACCATGTGTATTTACAACTTTCTAGCTTTGCATTTTTAATATGACCTTATTGAAACTGCTCTGTACTTATTTTTTTTGATGATTTCATGAAAAATGTGTGTGAAGTCATTTAAACCTGTATATAAATCACAAAGCAAAGTGTTAAGACTCCAACTCATAAACCAGATATGTTAAAATTTGTCTTTCATTTAATGACACGTTTAACGAGCTTCTGGAACCATAACTCAAAGTCTGATTTATTTTGGTTTATTTTTATTTTGAAGTATAAGTTTCAAATTTTACATGGTCTCATAATGTCAAATTTCAAACTAAACTATCTGAAATATAATAAGATTATCGGACCTTGAGCTATGGTTCATGCTGCTTACTTTCGGTGGAGCCTCTTCTTCATCATGTATGGATAATGTTAGTATAATACGTGTTGTCGTAAAAGGTTATTTGTCATCTAATCCTTACAAGTAGGAGCATCAACTTCTTTCTAAAACCCTTAATCAATAAGTATACCATTATAGTAATTAAAAATTCTAGAGAATCATTCCTCACTTTACAGATTTAACCATTTCTTTGTTCCCTAATAAAGGGATATAAAGGGATGATCATACTTTACATTTGTATATCTAATCTTATAGTGATTTTTTCTTAGTATTAATGTCTTAACATCCTTTCTATCATATGATAATATATCTGCTTTATCAAATTTGGTCATCAGATTTCTTTTCATTGTGAAAGACATTGTAGATTATTTCTGATAACAGATGTATGTCTTGCAATTCATTAGTAATCTCTTGACATTAGTTACTGTCACTGTTGTAATTTCATATTATAGCACTGAAGAATTTCATCAAGTCTTTCTCTACAACATACACTGTTGAAATAAATACATGTTAATATTTCATCAAGATGACCTGCCACTGCTTTTCAATGATGTATCACAGTTTAAAAAATATTAAGTATTTTGGAAATTTTTGTAGTATATTTGCATGTAAGAATTTACATTTTACCTTTAGCTCCAGGTGTGAAATCAAGTTCAAAAGACAGGTGCTAGAAGAATAAAAACAACTTGTTTTTACTTAGGCTGAGCCCATGTTAAGTAACAGTTGTAATGCATTATATCCAACACTTTCACTTACAAGGCTATTTTGTTCATTATACTTGATAAATAAAAAGGTAACTTACTGCTGTTTACAAATTAATTGACTACATCCTGAGGCTAAGGTCAATCCTTAGACACTTCTTTGGGAGGTGGATGCATTCTATATCCACATAAAGAAGCAGCATATCTCAAATGTATCAAAATAAAATGAGATAGATTGCTTTATGCGTCAAATTGCTGGTGTACTTAGCCATTGCTTATATATAACAACAAATAAAGCGTGATAGTGTTGCTCAATATACTGATAATGAGCTGGAATCGTTCTTAATAAAACGTTCATAGGCATATTTTTGTAAAGCTAGTTAACATATTGACAGTCTTGCCTTGTTTGTGTTATGATAATATTGATAACAAATTAACTGATTGAAAGGTGTTTCATATTGTTAACAAACGGGTAAAATAATTTTGAATTTGTTGGTGTGTTATTTGTACATTTAAGACAATATTGTTACTCTTTTATAAACAACTTTTTTTTTTTATCTGATATCATAGATCATTAAAATAAAAACAAGCATGCGTGTACAATTTCAGATAAAATGGACACGGACAATGAGAAAAGTTCAAAATCTGTTCATGATGACGACCTTTACATGTTTTTTTCAGTGTAGATTACAACCACTCTGGTTGGAAACCTTGGTCCAGTAGTTATTTGTTAACAGGTCACAGCCGTCTGTAGGAAGTCCTGGTAGTTAGGTAACAGAAGAAACTCGGGAGTAGCTAAACAACTGTGACAAGTAAGGGAAATTGGTATGTTGCTTCTAAGATAAGGGATGTAAGCTATTGTGATAAGTAACAGAAATTGGTCTTTTGCTACAAAGAAAAGGGATGTTAGCCTTTGTGAAACTAAAGATATTTTATTTGGTCATCGTTTTGGCAGAGAGCTGACAATCGTTGTCATAATGACTGGTAAAAGTCATAGATATAAAGTATACAAACTAAATGAATTGACTTTTTTCATGAAA